GGCTCATTTTCAAACAATCAATAAAGTTGGCAGGCGAGAGGGACAAGAATTCACTGCCCAACCCATCAACCAGGACCTCAATTCTCAGATTTCTAAGGAAAACGTTATTTTGGGAAAACGTTACATTGGAGTACGAAATACATGCAGGCAATCTTATTACTCAAAGCAGCGACTTAAGCCATCGAATAGCTTAAGCCATTGAATGCAAGGCTGAAGCGAAGTACGTTTTTGCCTGATAAATTTTCCTTCTCCTGTTTCGTCGATGATGACACCTCGCCTTTCTAGATACAGGCGGAACAAAATGAGATTTCTCACCTGCGAACGCAGCACCTGCTCTAAGCAACATTTCTAGCGTCTAGCTCGGCAGCGCTTTCTGGCGTCTGGCTATCTGTGTGCAGCTGGGGTGCGCCGCATACGTCTTTCAAGGTAGGTGAATCATAACACTGATTCCTTGCAAGTTCTCGAGGTTTTAAAGGGATAAGTTGGCCATCCTGCCACTGTTCGAAGCTAGTTCCCAGTTTCCAAAGTTGCCTCTCCGATTTATTGGAAAATGGGTAGGAATACTCCGGTGGCAGTCTAGCCGAAACAGCAGCCTCAATAGTGAACGCTCCAAAGGGCCCCTGGTTATGGACACGCGCGAGAGGTAGACAAACAATATGTTCCTGCACCACCTGTTGTATCCATGCACACTCGTCAGTGAAATCTTTGACGCTGACATAAGGTGGATGCACGACATCGATGGTGGCTGCGAAATCTCGAAATACCCTGCAGCGCTTTCCGTTAACTGTGAGTTCTTTCACGAATGGTTTAAGTAGCCTCAAGTTCTCTGCTTCGGCCGACACATATAACACAACGCACTTATTTCGGCAACCTGAGGAGAAGTGACCCGTTTGATGACACTTATAGCACGTTATCAATGTCTGCGCTTTGAAGTGTTTGTTATTCTCATCTTTAACGATAACTTTAGGTGGCGTCTGCTCTACGTCTTTCCATGGCTCTGCGTCTTTTGCGTTCCCATCACATTTGAAAAACATTGCGGATCTATTCTTCTCGCCTTGCTTCGAAAACGTGTCGTGAGTCTGCTCTTCAGTTCGCTGCGATGCATGGCGCGACGCGTATTCTTCCGTGAGCTCCGCAGCTTTTTTAACTGTGGTCACGTCGGGCCTGTCAAGGATCCATAAGCGCATCGGGTCGGGAATCGTATTGTAAAATTGCTCCAGGAAGAGGCATTCGACAACCTTCGCCATGTCTCCATAAACTTCCGCGCTCTGAGCCTTTCCACGAAGATGAGCTTCAAGCTGTACCCGAACTCAGTGTACCTTAGACTTGGTGGCTTTCTGGAAACGCTGGCGAAATGTCTCTGGAGGCAGGCGATACCTCTTAAGGAGACTCAATTTTACAATATTGTTGTCCTTGTAATGTTCTGTGCTGAGCCTCCCTGTTGCGTCCGCTATTTGACACGGCTGAATGGTTAACAGGCACTGTGGCCTTGACGCTTTAAGGGACTTCATTCTTTGGCACATTCATTCAAAGTTCACGAGAAACATTCTGATGTCCTCTCCTACCTGGAAAGGCTGCACAAGGTCCTTCATACTGAAATTTTCTCGTGGCTCTAAAACTAGGACGCGCGCTTCAACGCAAGTAGCCTTCACTTTCAGCAGTTAAGATTTAAGCAGTTTCATTTGAGCTAAGCAATAGCCTCTCTTTTTCATCAGCATGCCTCTTTTCTTCGTTTGCCTCATGCTCTTTGGCTTCAGCCCGGCTCTTGCCCTTGTTCGTCTGGCGCTCTTTAAAAATTCCCAGTATTCTAAAAGCTCACTGTCATCTACTTCTGCGGCAAGTAATGTCTGAATGATGTGCGGCTTCCTTACGGTGCTCCCAACGTCCTCTCCCGATTTTGCGCTCAGCAATAATAAATCAGGCTTGCGTAGAGAATCGAGATCCATGATCAGCCAAGACAGTAGATTTTTCTCCCTGTCTATTCCTTATCAAACATAGCCAAGTTATATCATGCAAAAAGGCTGAATATTGACAAGAAAAACCTGCCAGCTTGAAACTTCGAATCTATCCTTAAAAGCCTGGCAAATCTTAAAGGGGAAAAGTCTGACACTCAGGTTGCTGCAGTCATGGGCTCCATTGCGTTCTCCACGTTTCAGCTGGCTCCAATGCAAGGTCCACTGCAATCCCACCGCTGCAAGCCAGTTCTTACGAAGAAAGAGGCCCCGCTGGTCTCTTGGGTAGCGTGTTGTGAGGGCGAACGCCAGGCAGGGAGCATCCAGGCAGTGACAAGGCAGAAGTTAGTTAGAAAAAAAGCATTTATATTTACAACGTATGTACAGAATATGGACGAGGAAGCCTCCCATGCCAGATGCGCTGGCCTTTCATAGGCGCCTAGACGCTTGAGGAGGAAGGCACCGCCCGCTGTTGCACGCACGCAGCATCTCTGAGGGACGCGTCCAGCGTGTCTGTCTTACGCGTCAGTGTCTCTTGGAAGAAGACCAGAAAGGGGGCGAGAGCGCACTGCCCAGCATGTAGCGAGCTCATAACAGCGTTCTTTGCAAGGCTTGGTATCACTGGACGAGGTGCGACGTTGTATACACCAACGAAAGCAGCATTGATGAATGTCACACTCTGATCGCACGGAGGAAGATGCGGCTCCCGAAGCCGAAGAGATGGAACAGACGTCGCTTCATGTCAGTTGAGCTCTTCCTGCACCACTTGGCGGATAATTCACGCGAGGTTAGACGGGGCTGGAACGAAGTCAACGCTGGTGACAGTCGTTACATGTGCCAAGTAGCCAAACTTGGGTGTGATGTACCAAGCTTGATTTGATTGATTTGTGGGGTTTAACGTCCCAAAACCACGATATGATTATGAGAGACGCGTGATGTACCAAGCTTGTAAGGCTTCAAATGTGTGGCAGTGCTGGATGACCTCACTCACAGACTCCAAGCTGTACTTCGCGATGAGGTACTGCAATTCCTTTCAGAAGGTGACCCACTTTGTCCTCTTCAGTCATCCGAGGGTCCAGGGCCTTGCACAACTTGAGCTGCGCTGCATTAGCGTTTGCTCGGCACGCTTCTTTTTGGCCGCTGGATCTTCAAAGCACTTCCTAATCTCGTCCCTAACTTCTGCCACGTTGTCAAACTCTCCTTGTGGTTTTCATACCACACAGATGCGGTTCCCTTAAAGGGGCCCTGCAACACTTTTTGAGCAAAGTCAGAAAACTCTGCCGATCCGTAGTAGAGGCTCCCGACAACATGCGACCTAAATATTATAGCGCAGCACGCGGCCTGAGGTTCACAATAAATTATCAAAGTAAGCTAAAAATTGCTTTCTCTTCTCTCAACAAATGACAAAAAACGCTCAAAAATCACTCGTAGAAAGCTCATCTATCAGCCATTGGCTGGTTTGAACATGACGAGCTGTGTCGTTACAAAGATCACTGCAGTAGGCCGTGACTTGTCCATGAGTGCGCGCGTGATCACACTGTAAAAGGCACGCATTCGAAGCAAAAAAATTTAAAAAAAGTGCTCAAGGACACGAGGCTTGCATGACTCTCTTTGTCCCTGTCATCCCTCCCTGCCTAACTTCCTGCGCTTTCATCGGGATGAGAGAAGAGAGAATGCAATTGCAGCATGCGACAATTCTTTGCAACTTCACTCGCACTGGAGGAATTCTTAAAATTTTTCCGACATTGAATTCGTGAGGCAATAAGCTCTTCCAATGAATTCATTCCATGGTTACTTGAAAAAGTGTTTCTGGGCCCCTTTAAGGAACAGGCCGGTATTGGTGAGCTGTTGGTAGAAGCTCAGCCATGGGTCCACATCATCCCTGGCTTTTCTTGTGAAGGTTCGTGGCTCGATGCAGGGTTGCCATGGGTGACCGGAGGCGGCCAGTGTCGGGAAACCAGAAGCAGGTGCCAAATGCTCATTGTCTGTTTCGGAATCCATCTCTGATGGCAGACCAGCAATTCGTCTACTTTGGCGAATCTCCACGTATTGCATCCCTGCAGTCGGTGCGTCGTGGTTTGTAGGGAGCGTCGTTAGTATCCAGCACCTCTCACCAAACTGCTACCATGAAAGATGTTTATTTGAAGATGGGCTGATGGAAAAAGGGACTGAATGGCGGCCGCCCGGCAGCGATACATTCGCAAAACAAGTGCTCTTTATCTTCCTCTTCTTTTTGTCCTGCCTGTCGCGTTAGTGTAGCAATATATGTATATATATATATATATATATATATATATATATATAGGCAAGTAGATCCTCTGTGATCGGTCACAATGTGGTTTGTTTCAGCCTAGAGTCTGGCCTTCATCAGGATTGAGGGTACAGTTTGTTGGTGCTCAGCTTTATACAATCTTAAATCACAGGGAGAGAGACAGAGAAAGAGGGAAAAAAACGAAAGAAGAAAAAAGAAAAGAAAAAAGGAGAATATAACGTGGACTCCCCAGGGCGCCCCCTTTCACTCTTCCTTCCCCTTTCCCCTCCATCTCTCTCTCTTTTCTCCTTTTCACCTTTAGGATGTCTGCGGACTCTGTATCCTTCCTTTCACTAACGCATTGTTTTCGACCAGACGGCGCCTCCTTGCTCTGGCGGTTCGGTGTGGGGGGAAAAGAGCTTTTTTGGGAAGTTTAAGCCTTTAACTACTCAGCGCCCCATCGACATCTCGTCGTAGAAAGAGGGGCGCCGCGTATTGCTGCGGCGCCCCTCTGTTAGTCTGTCATAACTAAATGTGTTAATTTAGTTATGAATAGCTGTAGTGGGAGACTCCAGATTTATTTTTATCCTCTGCAGGGCATTGGTCTTGGGCACAAGCCCCACTGCCACACATCGCAGTCCTATGCCTGTGCGCTTGTGTGTAATATTTTCTTGCAAGTTACTGTAGATGTGTGTGCTAGTGCATGAGAAAGATGTCACATCTCGGCACTGAAGAGGCATTGTTCTAGTCGATATTGGGCGTTCTGTTTATGTGATAAGGGTGTTGTCGCCTTACAGATTGGCCCACCACCCCGGTTCTTGGACTTACTATCAGGGGCTACGGCTGCAGGAAAGACCCCATCCCCAGTGCCCCCTAGTGGGGAACCCTTTGAACTGGGAAGCCTAGCTTGGATGTCAGGGCCATCAGGAGCACCAGCCAGCAGCAGCCCCCCGCCAGCTACACCTCCGCACCACAATTTGACTGCCGCCTCCACAGCCAACTCATCCCCTTCGGTCACTACGAGCAACCTTCAATTGCGGGTAAGTTGGGCACTTATAGCTGATTCAGTTGGCGCCATAGCCCAGCTAGCTTATGTTGAGCTGTTAGGGGCATGTTTTGCTTTTTCACTGTGAGAAGGCGGTTGTATAACAAGTATGTGTCTAATATATGCATATGTGAACGTCTAACACTTTCTGTCTTGAACTTTTTTTTTATAATGTTCGTGATGATGTTTGTTACAATGTCTATGAAGCTCATAACAAATTTAAAGTTGTTGGGTATCTGCCATATTTTACGACTGCCATAACTCTGTTTGTTGACTTGGAGAAATGAATGTCACTGGCTGAGAGACAAATGTATCAGCCCTGCCTGAAGAATGCGAATGTGTGAAAGAGATTGACAGTGGCCATGGGCAGAGTCTTGTTATGAGTACAGTGAAACCTCAGTATAATGAACCTTAAAAAGACAAAACCCTCAATTTAACAAACTTTTTTCCTTTTCGCTACCTGCTTTCATTGAAACATGTATTTTTCTAATGATATCTTGAAGTACTACTGTCTTGAGAAGCATTATTAATAAAATGAAGTTTTCACAAGCAAAAAAAGCAAATTTAGTCAAATTGTATGGATGTAAAAACACAATGGGTGTTGTACAGGCAAGACAGGCAAAAAAATTTTTTGCCCTTGTCAGTAAAGGTTGTCAAAGTCGTCTCAGCCAGTGGGCTGCAGTCGTGAAATTTACTCCCTAAGAGGAAAGGTGAAGTGGTTTTATAATCCGGTAAAACAGCATGCTTTACAAAGAACAACATTATTGACGAGGATGTAATTTTTTCACAATCGTTGCAGCAGGAGGTTTAAAAATACGAGAAAAAAAAAAACATTTGTTTTGCTCCACCCATGCAAGCATATCGAAAGTGTGGGGGTAGATATGAACTATAATCACAACTACCTCATCTTCAGTATCATTGGCAGAACTGTGCTGCGCTTGGATGGAATGTTTCCGTCATTCACCGATCCAAACTAACTGCAAGTGTGCTGTTTATTTATGTAGCTGAGGCTCAAGTAAGTTCAGTTATGCTGAATGTTCTGTGGTTACAATATAACGACAAACAACCGAGTGCCATGGGAACAAGTGTCTCGGTGTCTTTAACCCTGGCTCTCCTGTCTGTCTCCACCTACAAGCCATTTCCAGAGTTAATCGTGCAGTGCACGCTTTAACAGTGCTGCTGTTGCAGATAATGCGGCATACTAAAGATGACGTTGCCATGTTTTCTTGGCTCGTTAAGAAACTCTGTGGCCACAGCTGCTGTTTTTTTTACTAAAAAATGCTGCCTTCACTTTTCATAACTCTAACATTGTTTTTCAAATTCAGGGATCTAACCAAGATTATTCATTCTAAAGCTCTCTTCTCTTTTCTTATTTTAGTGCTTCAGGTTTCTTTTAAAGGCTGGGACAGGTTGGGGCCATGGAGGGGGGGGGGGGGGGGGGTTGTTCGTAGAAATTGTCACCTAACGTTGCCATGTGAAAGGGGCCCTTCTCATATCTCATATATGGGTCATCTTGCGAGAAGATTTAGTGTAAGGATTTGGACAACATACTGATACCAATCTCCCGAATGACTAAAATTCGAATGCCAATTCTGAAATACAGAGTTCTTGTTTCACGGTTGTTTTCAACATATGGTGACTGCATGAGGTGCCTCACACACACACGCACAGAAAAAAAAAAAGAACAAAAGAACAAATACTTGAAACGAGTCATTTTCTGTCTAACTCATGGATATACTTTAGAGAATAAAAAAAAGTATCGGACAAATATGGTCATTTGCTTGCTGGGCTGTTAAAAAAAGGTCTGTAGACTGCGTGTTTTGAACTCTTGCTTAGGGTGTTTAGCACGGACAGACAATTGATATCGGTCATTTATGAGGGTGTGCTATTAATAAAATGAGGAAACAAATAGTCTTGGAATATCAAATTTAATATCGAATATGTGCGTATCCTTAAAAATTAGCAGAACAGCTAATGAAAACAGCTTCTCTTACCTCCTATTTATAATGGTTACTGTAAAAGAAATTAGCATGCATTTTTGTTGCTTTAGTGTCTGAAGTGTCTGTTAAGACTTCCTGTTGCCTTCTTGTTTGTTGCAAGTGCTACAAGCAGGCTTAAGACATTTATTTATTTTTTTCTTAGTGTCTTTAGCATCTGTTATATATACCTCATTACAGTTGAACCTCGATAATTCGAACTCGAAGGGGCCCGAAAATTTGTTCGAATTAAAAGAAGTTTGAATTAATGAAAACTAAATAAACCTAGCGCTAGTCAGTGGTGCATGTGCATTGAGCTAACACACGAGGGGGAAGTTTAGGAAAACTTACATTTATTCACAAGTCACAGGACATCCGTTATTAATTGAAGTAATCGGTGATGCACGTCTGCACACGTTTGCCTTGCAGCGAGTCAATCAATTTCGCATGCAGCTTGCAAAGCATTTCTACTTCGGCTTCAGCATTCTCCTGGCAAGAGAAGTTGCGCGCGGAAATGTCCTGCGCCGACACTTTCTAAAGATGACAACAACAACGACTGCGTAGCGGAGCCTCCCGCTCTCCGCTACGCAGCCGCAGCATGGCCAGCATGTGACAAGAAAGGAGGAGCGTCTCCACGCGGAGAGAAGGGGATCGGTATTTGAGAGAAGACCAACACTCCACGGCAGCTTTTTTTTTCTTGCTCTCTTCGCGCGCGTCATTGAAAGGAGAAGGGTTACGTGGCAGGGAAGGGAAAGGGGATGTGTGACACCCGCACGTGAGACACCCGCCCCCTCAAGGCGCAGAGGCGTGCTCCTGGACGGGGCAAGGGCTGCAGAAGATAGTGCCTTTTTTTCTTTTCTTCAACCACTCATTCATTCAACCCAGCGACGGCTTTCTTTTTTTTTTCCCTCTGTCTCTTCGCACGGGTCTTTACGTGGCAGGGATAGAAAAGGGAGAAGCGTGACACAGCTGTTCTGTGGTGACACGGGCGGATCGCCAATCGGCATTAGAGAGAGAGCAAACATACCACCACGGCCTTTTTTTTCCTTTTCATTTCCTTCGCCGGTAGCGTTGAGGTGTCGCACGTGCCGCTGCGTGATTGGGCAGGTGCGGAGAGCATTTTCGGAGCGCGGTATGTTCGAATTAACCGTTGGAAGTGCTTGGGCGTTTGAATTATTGGGCGTTTTCGCCCATTGGAATACACATAGCTTTGACGGGACCTCATCTTGAGTTTGAATTAACCAGAAGTTCGAATTAAGCGTGTTCGAAATAATGAGATTCGACTGTATTACAATACTGTAATGTTTAAAATGTACTGCATGAAGTTTTTCTAACAAATCTTTTTAAGGGAAGACGCATCTCACTGATGTTCTATAATATCTCTACCATTTGCCATAAATGAGGTGACCGTAGGCCAATATGTTACTAGCGTATATTTCTAGCTTTGTGGCACACTGTGTGGTCACAACTTTCATACAGCACAAATGCTGTTTACAAGTAGGGACAAAGGGTCACATATGGCTATTGCTTAACACTTAGTGTATGCAGGGGTGGAAGTGTTGCGCCATGCTGTGCCAATCTGACCTGCTGTGCCAAGCTGTGCCTAAACGGCAATTTGAACATGCAACGCCAAATTTAGTCAAGAGTTTTATCATCGATCAAGCAACACGCATAGGCTACACAAAGGACACAACGTTCATATAAAAAATTCCGCATTCATATTAAACGTCGTATTTTGGATCATGCATGAATCTTGTGCCACATGAACCCAATGCATGATTCTTACTAAGGTGACATTTGTGTGCATACCTCATTATGTGACTCGATGCATGTTTTAATAGTGAAGCTGTTAGGCAAACTATAAAGACGGCAGTGCTGTTGAAAAAACTCGACCGTACCTATGCCGAGCAACCGGTGAGTGCACGCTGTGCTCGGCGGTCACTCAGCGACGATGTTGTGAGCTTTTTGTAACAATAGCTGAAAAACAAATTTAAGATCATTGTCACCCGCATAGCGATGACTGCAATAGCAACAATTTGTAATGTTGTAATGGAGATGCCGTACACTCTCCTTCCTATTTTTGTTACCGCACCGATACGCGTGTAACGCTGCCTTGCGCAAATCACGCCTGAATGACTGGAGACGATATAGATAAGCTTAGAAGCTTATGAGATTGCGTGCACAACGCATACAATACAGTTTGTTCTGGAACTTATGCGGTCGCTAGCAATAATGCTGGAATCTTTGATGACACATGTATAAATGCTGCCGCGCTTAGCTGTGTGGCAGATTATCGACGGCTGATGCTCTATGTTTGCTGCTATCAGTCTACAGCATGTATTGCTTGTAGAGTGAAGTTTTGTTTTCCAGGCACAGGTTAGCCCAAATAAAAAGTTCATTCATAAAAACAGCGGCTGCTGCCTTCATCAACCTCGCGACCCCGTGACAATACGAAGGCTGAAAGCTAACTCTTTTGGATCCGACTTCGCGACACTCTACAAAACGCTGATGTATGAGAATAAGTACAGCCGCTCCAGAGAAAAATGCTCTTATTGCACAGTCTCTTCCCACATAGAACGGTTTACGAGCCGCGCGCTGATGCTTGTCGGTAGCGCCCGCGCCAGGTTATCACAACTACACCCTTAGAATTAAAGTTCATCGCTGCTGCTTGAGCGACCCGTTCCCCCCCCCCCCCCCCCCTTTCCCCTGCATATTTTTTCATGCTTGTTCAAGACGGGCGGCGTGTCTCCTCTCTACTTGAGCATCCGAAGGCAGATCTAACATGCAGTGGGATGCTAATGCGTGCACCCTTCGAGCGACAGAGATCAGCTGTCTCATTTAATGTCGCTTTAGCAGCGCTGATCAAACCAGCTTGCGCAATTTTACGCGCGGGTCGAACCTACGATGCGTGGGAAATGGTACCAACTTTTAGTTTATGTGGAACATGGCGCGGACGGCGAAAGCCGGGTTCGTCGTGTGCCCATATAATTTCTATCATAAAGAAGTTTTCACCTAATTGCCTAGCAATGACATGGGGAGCGCATCTAAATTTTCTCGTGATTCTCATGTTGGCTGTGGCACTTCAATGACCGAAACATAAGTTTTTACATTTATTTTTATAGAGCCCTATGGGTTTAGTATGAAGATAACTTTTATTATAAAGTAGCTCATCTCTAGTCTTGAGTTGCTGTTCATGTTAGATGCAGTGTTTTAATCACATTTTGAACATTGCAACATTTTAACATTGATTTTTTTTCATTGCTTTGTGGTCTAGTAGCTGTCCAGAACTACGCTTATTATTTTTCTTTGAGTTGCTGCGCTTTCATCTTTGATGTTGTAAGGTTTAATACGGTATATCAATTTCAGGTAAGTCTGATCACTTGATCAGCATTGCATGCTTACTAAAAACCCATGAAATGTTTTGTGTTTACCAGAAGGAAAAATTTTTAATTAACAGTGATGTGTGGCTCGAGAAATCTGCTCTAAAACTAAATTTTGATGCTCCAAATTGCACCTTTTGGTGCTCCAGAGCTGCTCAAAAACCGCATTATTCATGCTCCCAAAGCTGCTCCAAAAGACTGAAGCTGGCTTCCACCCCTGTGTAATTATTTTTAATGTAAAATTTCCACCTCAGGCGTAGCTGTAGCATATATTGTGATGTGCACAGTGTGCAGCTAGTTAGAGGAATGACTGTAAGTTAATTGCTACTGCAGCTAGATGACCTGAGCTTCTCAGGCGCCATGAAGGGAGGCGGGAATGAGGAGGCACGAGGCATCGGCCGGTCACCAGCAGCCCGTGCAACAACGGGTCCTGGCAGCCTGCCGGAACTGCCTGTGTTTGCAGATGGGGGTAGCAGCACATCGTCCGCATCACCACCGCCCTGGTCAGCAGGGCCTGTGCCACCATTTTCTGCGGGCAGTGGGGGCTTGTTTCTGCGGCAATTCAGTGCCCCCCTGCCTAATTCGCAGTCGCCTTTGAGTCGACTTCCTGACATCAGCCGACTTACCATCGACGAAGGCGAGCCAGGTGGCCTTCAAAACTTTCTTGGAACTGGTGCCATCGGCAAGAGCTGAGGGGGCGTGCTTTACCTCTTCACCATGACAGTTGCCCTTCTCCTGCACAAACCGCGGCCCCTCCTTCTGATATAACCTGCTTGTTCTTTTAATGTGGCACATTTCCTTCTGCTGCCTCTAAAAGCTTTCTGTCTGCACATTTCTCACCTTGAGTTCAATCCTTTTCATCGTCGAGAGATGGAGATTGAGAGAACTTTTCTTTCTCTACTGGCAGTAGTTAACCTGCACTTTTGATCACTGTCAGACTGGTTTCCTCTCAGCCACTGGCCTTCCAAGCGCACATGAGGCTTCACATTTATATGAAATCTCACAAACATTCAAAACAGCATGTATTTACAAGCTGGGGGCCTCGTAGTACTTTTGTGACTATACTGCCTTCTAATTTGATAATGGACTTTATGTTCAGTCCTTTTCCCCCCCATTTTTTCTTCTACTTTTTTAATGTGTTGGATTGCATGATGTGACACCTCTGTCCCATCACTGGCATTTCAAAACTGATTGTTTGACTACTTGTAAGCACAGCATTGCTCGGAAATATACCTGACCTGTTCATAGTTCCCACTGCTCTTGTTTTTTTAATTTTTCATTTAATGTTGCAACCTACACTAACTAGTTCTTAGTTACTCTATGTTCTGCCCTAGTGTTCTTTGTTGCCTACTATGGCGTGTACTGCATTTCTGCAGCAACTGTGTCTGCAGTTATTCTAAATATACTGCAGTGCCACATTATAGTGATTACTTATGTTGTCTGACACTCCTCTATCAAAGTAGTGTGTGCTTACTGCCATGATTTTTTTTTATTCTTGTGCATGCATATGTGTACTTACATTTATTCAAAATCTACTTTCCATTCGAAATCTTGTTCACTAAATTACTGCTGAAGTGGGCATTAGCTTTACCTTGGCAAATGAAATACAGCCATGTTAGTTAATTTTTCGAAATGTTTTGGTAAAACTGCAGTGGTTGTGCTACTGGTTTTTAATTTTTTTTCTTGAGAAAATAATTCATCTTCTGGCAAGAGTCGCATCTGTTCTCATATTTTTTTTTTTATTTAGCTTTATGTGAATGAGAAAGGTGGGAAGCCGTGGGAGTACCTGCTCATTGCAGATGATTTTATAGATGAAGTACGAGCTGCATTTGACCAAGTCTGCATCACATGTGCTTCCATATGCTGTTATGCATCTCTATTATTCTTGTTAAATTTCTCTCTGGGGAATTTCTCTTTAAAATCTGGTAAATTTCTATTATTTTTATGGGAAGGGGGGGTGTTGATGCTGTACCACAAGTGTGGTTTGTCCAATCTTTTTATAAAATGTGTGATCTTAATGTGTTCCTATAAAATGTGTTAACTTAATGCTTACATGATGTATCAAGTGGCAAAGAGCTAAAGAGATATAGTTCACAGAATGTGTATACTGTATTGTTTAACTGTATTAACACCTGTGAGCCTAAAAGGAAATCTGATGCAAAATTTTAAAATTTAACCTCAGTTGTGGTATGGGGAAGGCCAGAAAGAAAAGTAGGTTGTGAATGCCAGTTGAGGCAGAAGGAAAGAATGTTTATATTGGCAGTGAAGCCTGCCTTCTGGCAGCTTAGCATCATGACATTTGAAATTTCCTATCTGCTAGGATTAGGCACCAGTTTAAAAAATATTCTTTCTGAACGACATCAACAAGACACTGTCGTACAACTTCCAGTGTCTAACCACAATCGGCAATGGGGCCTGGTAGGAACTTACTGAAGCTTGGGCTTGAAACTGTACTAGATTCAACACTGATGCCGCTGCCATGATGGTACAATAGTTACGTTGCTTGGATGCTTACCCATAAGTCGTGTGTTCAATTGCTGTGGTATTCGCATTTGGATGGAGATAAAATGCTGGAGGCCCCTGTAGTTAAATTCAAGAGCGCATTAAAGAGTCACTATGTGGTCGAAATTTCCAGATCCCCCTTCACTATACTGTGCTTTATAATCGTATCATGGTTTAGGCACATGAAATCCCGGATATTATTATTTATTATATTGACACTGATTTTAGTGTGATGCATTTCAACGCCCAACAAGCTTTTATAAAATAGTGAGTCACTGCTTGGGGTGAATGAGCAAGCATTGCAGTGATCATTCACTATCCCACTTGTTGCAAACGTAAGGTGCAGAAAGGTTGAAAGGCAGCCTGGTTGGTATAAATTCATACTGAAATACTTGCAACTTAAACTAGTGGGACACAGAAAGAGGGCCAAAACAAGCACAGGATGAAACTTGGATTTATTCACAGAAGATCATGCATTATCTACTGTGAATAAATCCAAGTTTCAGTCTGAGCTTGTTTGTGTCCTCTTTCTGTGTCTCGTTAGTTTGCGCTGCCAAAATTTCAGTATCAAAAAGGTGTTGTGGTGCTAAGCTCAAAAATGGGGGTTCGACTCCTGGTCATGGCAATCACATTTTTTACTGGGGTAAAATGCAAGAACAGCCCGCCGCGGTAGTCTAGTGGTTATGGCACTCAACTGCTAACTCGAAGGTCGCAGGATTGAATCCTGGCCGTGGTGGCTGCATTTTCGATGGAGGCAAAAATGCTACAAGCCCATTTGCTCAGATTTGGGTGCACATTAAAGAACTCTAGGTGGTCGAAGTTTTCGGAACCCTCTACTACAGCGTCTCTCAATCATATAGTGGTATTGGGAGGTTAAACCCCACATTAAATGCAAGAAAACCGGTGTAATGAGACTTAAGTGCACATAAAACAACCCTAGGTGGTCCAAATGTGCCCAGGTCTCCTACTATGTCTCACCTCATGATCATATCAATGTTTTACCACTTAGAACTCCAGAATAAAAATGATAATTATTGTTTGAAACCCCTGACTGACAGTGCAGTGCTTACTATTGCCTCATCATGTGCACCATCATTTAATATCTAAAGGCAGGAAAATGTAATGTCATGAGCATGTGAGAGCATATGTGCTATTGTACTGAATGACCTACTTGCAACTAGCAGTTCTGGCAGTGGTGTCTTGTATTGCTGTGATCAACTATATAACATACTTGAAGCATTCTTTTACAATACAACTTGTATCTTCGAAAATGGACAAATACAAAAATATCTTCATGATAATTGTGGGTCTGCTAATGTGCTTACATCATCATCCTTGAGGGATGCATTTGGGCAATGATTAACAGTTGCTTTGGTAGCACAGTGGCTATGGCATTGTACTGCTCAGCTCAGGTTCCCTGCTTCGGCGGTCTTGAAAGGGGCCTTGCAACACGTTTTGAGCAAGATCAGAAAACGCTGCAAATCGGTAGTCGAGGCTCCCAAGAACACATGAGCCAAATATTCTAGCACAGCACACGTCCTGGAATTCAGTCAGCTAGAAATTGCTCTTTCTTCTATAGACAAATGACGCTACCAGCTCAAAAATCACTCGTCACAGCCATTATATCAGCTACTGGCTGATTTGAGCATGACACACTTGGTCGTTACACGAGCTGCCACGGGAGGCCGCGACGTGTCCACGTTTGTGCGTTTGATTGCACTGAAAAGCTGCGTATTCGAAGATAAGAAAAAAAAAAAGGAAAAGTACTCAAGGTCATGAGGCATGCATTTTTTTTTTCACCGTGCCATCCCACCCTGCTTATCTTCTAGCGCTTTTGTTGAGACGAGAAAAGACAGAATGCTATTCCAGCGTGTGACAAATCCTTGCAACTCCACCGGACGGATGCTGAAATTTTTTGTGATGGTGAATTTGGGAAACAAGAAGCTCCTTTAGTAAATTAATACCATGGCTATTTTAAAAAGTGCCGCTAGGTCTCTTTAATCCAGTAAGGGTAGGCGCAAAAAACATAAATATGAGGACCCCTCTCTTGCTGTATAATGAGTTTTTGGCACGCAGTGAGTATCCTCAGGTGGTTAAATGGAATCTAGAATCATCTGCTATGATGTCTCTCGTATCTGAATCAGTGCTTGAACTAGTGTTTAATATCATAAATCACTCATCACATCAGGTCAGCGAGGTTTTACTTTGGCAACTAATACTGTAGTTTTTACTTCTGTTTCAAATTGAAGTGAAAAGGTGTTAGGTTTAGTCAGCGTGATTCCGTGCAAAATTTATAATTTATGGCTGATTAAGGTTGTAGCATTTGATCTCTTCATCCAATGTTATATGTTGCATATCGCACATATTCTGCTTGCCTGTTTTGTGTCAATGCAATCAATGGCGTTGAGGAACCTGGGCCATTCATCTAGTGGCACTCGCAAAATAGCTCCTAAAATAAATGTCCGGCTCTGACATAGATAGCGCCATTTCACCATACAACACTAATATACAAAATTTGTCTGTGTAAGTGCAGATCTATGAACAGCTACAGGAGTATTACACTTATCGCATTCCTTTCACAGCATCTCATGCTGCTGGTGCTGCTGCTTGCTGGCTATTCAATACACGACGCTCTCATGTGGCAGGCTGTGTATTCACTGCACGGTACTGTTGTGAGGCAGGCCAGAAGTCATAGTGCTTCAGCATTGCTTCAAAAATCATGGTAGCTGTATTGGATGAAAATACCACGAAATTACCAGTGTAGCACAGAAGAACCATCTGCTGCCAGCTTCTCCCTTTTTCTTTCTTTAACATTTATTGTTTCCGAGTGAATACACTTGTGAGCCTAACTTTTGCTTGCAATCTTTCTTGGAACGTGAGAAAAAGTTGACTGCTGTGATGTCAATTTACAGGAATTTCAGGAGTGCTGAAATGAATCTCAGAAACTTTTCACTGGGCTTTAGACGCATTTGAACGGAACCTGCTGTCATTCAGTGATATGAGCGATGGAATTTTGTCCACCGTAAGTGCCATGCCGTGTTTTGAAACATGTGCTGAAGTAGTGTTTCAGGTGTTACAAATGCCTCTCATGACGTTTGCAAATGTTTTCCAGACTGTGTGTGTTATGGTTGCTGGCTATTTGTGCTTGAAAGCTTGTGGTTTGTGCCAAACCTGGTGCCTTGGGTCGTGTTATATAATTTTAGCCGCTTTTGTGTTGATGTAATAAACATAGATAAGAAATTTCATGCCTCAGGAAGCTTTTGTGTACAGTGGCTTTCAGCATGGTGGTATTGTCACTAGTGATTGGTATGACATGGATCTCGTGCATTGTTGTCGAGAGTTTTAAGATTGCTTACGTATAAAAGAGATATTGATGCCCTGTGTCATGCCTGGTACCATGAAAGAAATGAGGCACTTCATTTTGTTCCTACCTCTTCTGGGCCATCCACTACTCATTCAAAGCAAGCTTTGATGTTTCATGCCCCAGTTTTGTTTTAGTAGTCACATTCTTTTGTTTGTCTTCCCCATATTATTGCATAAAAAACATCGCAGTCTATTACAACATTACTTGGTGTCACTTCAGTAGACTGGCTACTGTATTACTTATTAATTAAGGGGGTCACATTCACACATTCCTGAGTCTTGATAGCGAGCCCCTGACGATCCTAGTGTTTCCCTCTTTAAGAATTTAGCTTGCTGAACTCTTTCTATGTGTGTGCGAGGTTGTGTTCATGCTCATTCAGTAAACTTGCTTTTTTGTCATATCAGTGTAGATAGACATATTCTTCAATGTTCCTTAAAGTTACCAACTCAGTCGCACATTTGTACTTGTACCAAAGCCTCTTTGTGTTGCATGAACATTGTTCAGGCAACCAACACTCTGTTGTGCCAAATACTCTCTACTGCTGTTTTATTTTTTGTCATGCCTCTCACACACAAAGGCATTGTAATGTGATTTTGGCGCATCATTCTTTTTTGGTACTCAATGCTAAATTAGTGTCAAATTTGTCACTCGAAAATTTCACTTTTTTGAAAGAACAGAGTGATATGCTGGCTTAATATGTACCCTAAAAATTTCAATACTGAACAGTGCTTTTTACACATATACCACAACACCAAGTATGGGCAAGCTAATGAACTATGCTTAACGCTTAAGCACTTTGTCTATAAGATGTGGCTTTGTTGTGTATTTGATGCACAGTGAGATTCTATTGCCTCACTGTATTTGTACTGAAAATGGCAACATAAATGTTACACTCGTGACTAGTCGGGAAAATTGCTTTTAATAATCTCCAAGTCTTTTTTGCCATTCAAATATAGGTCACTGCCAAGAAGTACAACTGCTGTTCAGATTTTAGCATGTAAAGGCAGTGGAAAAGAATTTTCAGCATTATGCAATTCTTATTATGGTTGTCAGACCTGATAACTTTTATATGAGATTTCTGCACAAAGCTGCTTTCATTGGTAGTGAGTGTTTCTTTCTTTGTATGGATACTGGTTCCTAAGCACCTTTGGTTCTTCTCTGTCATGCATCACCAGCCTCATTCGCTTTACATTATCATTGAGGAATGTGCAAGGTGCTCTGTGTAAAATACTCATTGCAGCATTGGAGGTGCTGCCCATGTTACAAGTGCCCACAGTGAGTTCAACAGCCATTTTCTGAAAGTTAGTCAACATTCATTTCTCTCGCATGCAGGGTTACTTTTTTTAATATGGCAAGGCCACTTATCCAACAGCTCATATTCATTTGGAAATGCTGTATTCGACTTCTCTTTCCCTGTATTTAACATATGACGTGCTTTCTGTCCTTAAATGGAATGTTTCTTCTTTTTGCTTTTATTTGTTTTTCTCTGTACCTCATTTCGCGTGTGTGTGTGTTTTTGATTTCCACTGTGTAAATGCAACGTGCCAGTGAACTGATGCAGTACCAGCTTAATGCTAAAACAATAATTTGGTTTGCATGAACTACGCTATTATTATATGATAGATAAAATTTTGCAGTTCACCTTCATTTGTTCATTTCCTCACCTATCAAGCAATATGTACCATATGTTTGAGGTAGCCGGTTTTCAAAGTTTTTAGTTTTACCTATGAAGCCAGCGTGAAACTCCTAGTAGCTACTTCTAGTTGCTATTTTTTCCTTCTTTTTTTTTTGGAATCTTGTTTTGAATAGGCAGGGTGTTATTAGGTTATTAGGCAGTCTTAGTATTGAGCATAGCAGCAAACATAAGGAGTTCACATTTATCAATTTTTATTTCACATATTGGCTCTATTTGTAAGATATGTGCTCCATGGGCAGTTAGTAGGCTTAGTGAAATAGCTTATTTCATGTTTACTGTAACCACATCAAGATGGTGCCACCGCCTTATCTTGTTTTTTTTTTATTCATTAACATATTTAAATGATATGGCAATGATCCAAGCCAGGATACTCTATGTTTTCAGTGGCAAAACAAAGTGAAGTGAGGTTGTATAGATTTGGCTTGAGTACTTTGTTTTTCTATATCAAGATGGTGCCATATGTGTTGGTGTTAGCATTAGTGTCACTTCCTTTCACTATTTTATAGTAGTTTGTGCCATGCAGCCTATCTTAGTGTTGGTATTTTATCACATGCTAACACTAGTGTTTTACACTGTACTAAAGCTCTCTTGTGTTTGCTTGATCAGGAAGCCACCCGATCCACCAAGAGTGGATCTTAGTTGTTATT